GCTCTGAGTAAACTTAAGGATCTATCAGTACCCTGGTGTCCCCAGTTGTCATGAACAGCTTTAAGTATGGTTTTTCTTAAGATTTCTGGGACTAGCAGCTGCTGTGTCGTTCCTTCCTTTCGGTCCATTTCTCGATACAATACACCATTTTTCTCCACAAAATGGGACCATTCACGTAACCAGATCTTTACTTGGACTTTATCTCCAGATGACTCTTGTCCTGGCCTCCACTTGTTATTCCAGTATCTCCAAACAACCTGTAGCTCAGAATCCATCTTCTGCAACTTAGCCCAACTCATCCATACTGTAAGAAGGAAAAACATTAGGTTGCAACGGCTGTTGATTTAAAACTCCATCTCTGTTAACCTATTCATTAATTAATTCAACAGGTAACATGCTACACTCCAGCTCTTTTTCCATTGCAACAGTTACAGCTTCTGCTCTCATATTTCCAGGACAACGACTTAAGGCATCTGCACATTTATTTGTGCGTCCAGAACGATACTTTATTTCCACGTCAAATGCTGACAATTGGGCTACCCAACGGTGTTCTGTAGCACCTAGCTGTGCTGTACTCAAATGGGCTAAATGGTTATGATCTGTATAGACGATAGTATGCCCTCCGAACAAATAATCTCTAAACTTGTCTGCCACAGCCCATTTCAGGCCCAATAATTCTAGCTTAAAACTCGAGAAATCCGGGTAATTTCGTTCGGCACCTCTCAATCCCCTACTGGCGAAGGCCACAGGATGAATCTCACCATCAGAATTCAACCCTTTAATGACACATCGATCTCCAAAATGAAATTCTCTCCAAATCGGGGATATTCCAGAACTGGTATTAAAGGATTAAAGGAAGCGCCATTAAAGGAAGCGTCAGCTTCTGGGGTCCAATGAAAATTGCTGTCTTGTAACTGTGTTGTGCTAGTGTATCTTTTAGTTTTTCTGGATTTCGCCTTGTTACCAGCCAATGCATGAAGTGGACCAGCAATATGAGCAAAACCTGGAACAAATCTTCGATAATAGGACGCTAAAATAACCTTAACTCTTCTACGTTGGTAGGAAGCGGCCAATCCTTGATACGAGATGTTTTACCAGGATCCACAGCTATTCCGGCTGCACTCACTACATGACCTAAATGACTCACTTTACGGCAAAGGAACTTACATTTGCTCCCCTTCAGCTTCAGTCCAAACTCTTCCAAACGCTCAAACACCATCTTCAGTCGTTCTACATGCTCTTCAATTGTAGGTGCAAAAACCAAAATATCATCCAAATAAATAATAAAGTGTGATAAGTTAAGATCAGCAAAAACCAATTCCATGACACGCTGAAAAGTGCTGGGACTATTTATCAGTCCTTGAGGCATTCTAGTAAACTCAAATAATCCCCAAGGCACCCTTAACGCTGTTTTCTCCACACTGTCTGGGTACATCGCAACCTGAAAGTAACCATTTTCAAGATCCAAGGAAGTGAAGAACTTCGCACCACTCATAGCTTCTAAACTTTCCTTTATGCGAGAAAGGGGGAACGAGTCTCTAACTGTTTGTAGATTTAAACGACGATAGTCTACACATAGACGTAAGGATCCATCTCTCTTACGGACTGGCACTACAGCACTTGCAAAGGGGCTTTTAGATTTTCTAATGATCTCTTTCTCTAGCATTTCTTGCAGTAACTGCCTGATTTCTGGTATCTGTGCTGGTGGTATCCGTCGGTATGGTAACCGGATTGGTGTCCCGTCTTTCAAATTGATCTGGTGGGGAATAACATTGCAGAATCCAAAGTCCATACTATCTTGAGAGAAAACCGTCTGATTCTTATGAAGCAATTTTGATATCATATCAGCCTCGACCTGATCAACGCCAACCAAACTCACCCCACGTGGCAAAACCAGTCTGGTTCCATCTTTACACAAATATTCTGTACCAGCTTCACTTGGCCCCTCGATTGCAGTCACTTGCAATCCAAACTCTGGTCCATCCTGAGGCACCCCTTTTTCCACAGCTATTTCAGCAATTGTCACTCCAATGAATCCATTCATAGGTTCTGCAACCACTTCTTCCTTCATATCGACTGCCACAGCTGAAGCTAATACGGTACCAGGAGTTATTACTTCTTCTCTCTCACTCTCATTTGCCACTGTAAGTTTGTACACCATTCCATCTCGCTGAGGAAAACCCTCATAAATTTTAACTGGACCTTCTGCACTCGACTCCACCAGGATATCCATTTCTTTATCAGAATTGGCTATTACACACTCCATTCTCCTCACTGCAAGAGGGGGCAAAACTTCACTTTTACTTCTAGTCTTCAGTGTTAACCCCTCTATTGGTTGTGTCACTTCAGTTTGGAATGCACTATCTACAACATCCCATGAGTCATCATGTACTTTGTCGTTCTTAAACAAAGCTCTCAACGCATTGCACCCCAAAATCACTGGAAATTTTGATCTCCATTTCGTGATCACATGGTCCTCTACTACCAGAAAGCCAATCGCTGCTAACTTCCCTGATAAGGTTACTAATGTCTTTATGTAACCGGCAATAGGAATTGTGATGCCTGTAACACCTACAACCTTGATTCCATCTCCGCATCCAAGAGAACCCAACTTTGGTTGCAAAATTTCTCTGTAGAAACTCAATGGGATCAAACTAGTCTCAGCACCAGTATTTAAGATATACCCGATCCGATTTCCAGCAATTAACAACTCCGCCGTGGGACTTTCTGAAATTAACAATGTTTTCAGGTCTTCACTGGTACCCCGTTGCACGACATGCGATGCTGTTCGAACCTCTGGTACAATTTCCGTTTCTGTTTGGTTTGGTTCCTGCATGTGAACCTGTCTCACATCATTCTGTTTCAATGGTAATTTTCCCCAATGTGGACAATTATATTTCGTATGTCCCATTTTACAACAATTGTAACACGGCAATCTCTCCTTCGATGACCCTTTCTTCCACAGTTGTAACACAATTCACTCTCCTTCCTTTCACTTCCAACAGGCTTAATGGATTTTACTACACTAACCATATCCTGTACAGTTTCCTTCCGCTGATTAACCTCATCCTTTATTTGCGGATGTCATCCTTATCACCTCGTGACACAACCTGTACCTCGGCTATCTCTCTAACTTTCGCCTTTACTGGGCGTTGGTTTTGAAACAATTCTAGAACTTCTTCACACATTTTCATGAAGGATTTGTCTGCACTGGCAATTACGATTCTCCTCATCTCCCGCTGAATTCTTCTGTCTCGGGCCCCTCTCACTAACCTTTCTTTCAAGGTACTATCTTTTAACTTAGACAACGCCTCCTTTTCATTGGCACTGGCCGCACCCGCACCCTCCATTCGATCATACAGTCTAATCAATAGGTTGCTAAACTCTGCCAATGTCTCACCTTCCAACTGCTCACGATTATGAAGTTCACTACTAAGAGACTGAACTTGTTCTTTTGGTCCAAATCTTAACTTTAGAATATCTATGATCTGTTTACTATCTTCCTTAACAGCACTCTCTCTACAAAGAATCTCTTCCTTGGCAGCCCCACTGAGATGGGTAAGCAGGCTTTGAGGTTTATCTTTTCCTTCTAATTTATAGGAAGCACTATAGTCATGGAATTCAATAAGCCATTCGTGTAATGAAAGGTCACCTGCAGTGTCTGGTTGTCCTTTAAACTTGCGTAATTTCATAGCTGGCATTGTTCTTGATGTACAAAGATTCTTAAATGCACCTGTCAATGCCGCAACCATCTGGGCCAAATCAGGAGCAGCCGCAACACCTCCTGCCTCCTCGCCACCTGGGTTAGCCATCCTAAATTATTTGAAACAAAATGATCGAATACAAAAAAATCTAATAAAATCAAAACAATGATACAAAATAGTCCAGTCCAATTTACAACCACCTAACTATCTGTACACTTTCTTCGTTTCCTGTATGTACACATGCAAAGTTGAGGGTTTTCTACTTGATCTTCATTGCAGCCATCCCACATCTGACACCATTTGTCGTAGGCCGAGAACTGAACACAGACACACTAGTACAACGATATGGCTGCTGATCTGTCTGTTTCTTTATTCTTCAACCAACTTGAATTCCAACAATCAAATCACCAGTCTCAAGTAAAACATAAACAAAACAAAAAACCCCTGCAATAAACAAACAACTCATTGCAGTCATGTAATTTACTTAGTCATGTAAGATTACCTTCAATAATGTAAAATCACAAGAAAATAATATTAATAATATCACTATTAATATGACATTAATAATATCATAACAACAGTGATGAGATGATTTTGAATCTAAGCATCCTATACTCCAAAACTATACATGCTACTAACTGTTATTCATAGCATATTCAAACCACCAACAAACAATATAATTTCAATGTAAACATAAAAAATAGCTTTTATCAAGTATAACTAAACTTGGCCATCCTGACTTACCCAACAGAGGTATGTACAGACTATAATACTTCACGTTCTCCTTACAATAGAGTACCAGACTTTAACAGTTTCTCTTCACCTCATAGGACTCACAGAAATATTTGATAAAATATACATAACGTCCTTAAAAACTCACCTAATACACATTCTAATATAATCACACTATATTCCTATGTGACACAATAATTAACTATAAGCTTAGACCAACTCGTTAATCGTTACACACTAGCTCCATGGGCGTAGCCATCTTATTCACTTTGTTTACATATAGCGCCACCATCGGCCACTTATCGACTATAGATAAAACAACATCGTAACTGATGAACAATAATTTTAACAATGTATGATAAACCTTCAATTTCTATGCAGTAGCAGCCATAAACAATGAAATCATAAATTATACTTTGAAAGAGTAGCTGCACTCTAACGCAAGGTGACCTACATTATGATGACAGTTCAACACGAAGTTAGGCTTCGGATGAGGGATGCCATCAAAACAAAACATCCCTAAATACGCATAACCTCATCTAGCTTAACAATATTTACATGAGGTTACTCCTATATGATACAATATTAACAATGATTATGTTCATATTTACATACCTGTTGACGAAATGCTATATTTTTAATCATTCAACGACACCAATTACAACAAATCATACCCAAGTCTCACCCTGTCGTTCTCCGCTTACCACATGGGATGATCATTACAATTTCACGGCTGACCGCATAACAATGAGATATATTCATACGCCGCCCTACATCCCAAATGGGCAGTGTTATTTTTAATAGTTATGGTACCTATATATATATATATTTTCAGTTTACGACAACGACATAACATGTTCTGTAGATTGAGATCAATTTTGGGTGCAAAGAGTAAAGTAGGCCTAATACATAGGCCTATGGCTTGTCTTATTTTAGAGGTAGGGACACCGTAATCATAGAAAAAAAAACCAATATTGGTCTAATCAGGATAATTCTACTTCACGGGCTACTACAATAAAATACTCAGTCTATGAATTTTTTTTCCAATGAACAATTATACTGGAAGAGACAATGGACCTAATAAATCAAAATTACAATTTTTACAACATGATTGCTGATCTTCCTTTCAAGCAATGATCCTTACTAAGGTGCGTCGCCAATTTGCCCTTTCATAATCATCATGAGTGAGTGTGTTTATGTGTGATTGCTGAAGTTAGGATTTATCATATTTATTTGCTTTTAAACAAAATTGCCATGGCTATAATAGGCCTATATTCTAGAAGAAAGGGGTGACGGAAAGTTAATAATAATCAATGATATTAACTTTTCCCATGTCTGTAGTAATTGCATAAAAGTTATTTATTAGCCAGGCATAGAGAGAAGGGACCTAGGCCAGGGGTCATACTCTGCATAGGCCTAGCTTAACGTGAAAGAGAATTAGGCCTATACTACAGTGTGACCGGGTAGCTGGACTGGGCATTGGCTAGGTCTCCTAGTCCGACTTATGCAGCCCAGGCTGAAGTGGTTGTATTTAGCAACTCCCATGTTCCCACCGGCGGCCAAAAGTTTTAAGAATTTACAATCACTTCGTCTGCCATGAACCTCACGGCGAAAGTTGTACTTTCCACGGAAGTTGTGATTTTGAAAGTTTGACGTGACATTTCAAAAGTTGTTGCCGTGAATTTTGAAAGTGTGCCGTGGGTTTATAAAGTGTGCAGTGAATTTTGAAAGTGTGCCGTGGTTTTTAAAAGTGTGCGGTGAATTTTGAAAGTATGCCGTGACTTTTTAAAGTGTGCCGTGTGGTTTCGAAAGTTGTTGCCATGAATTTCGAAAATGTGGCCGTGACATTTCAAAAGTTGTTGCCGTGACATTTATGGGCCACCGTATCTTTTAGTAAAACAGGACCACCACACTACCAAAAGAGATTTGAATGCTATTGCCTATGAATTAAAAAGAGTTATTTATTAATGTGTTCGTCTTCTGTTTACTCACAACATTCTACTTCAGCAATAATATTAAACAACAATAACGACAATAAATTAGTAATATTTACATTAATAATACTAATTAGTCATTATGACGATAATAAAGGTGATAATAACAACAACAACATTAATAGTAATATTTATTTCAACAAATAGTAATAATACTAGTATGGTAATAATAACGATATTTAAATATCAATTTTGATAACTAATTAGTGATAATAACGATATTGAAGGTGATAATAGCAATAATGCAACAATAATAAATTAAAGATAATGTTTATTTTTATAATAATAGTAACACTAATTAGTAGTAATAATAATAATATTGATACTTATAATACTAGGCCTACTTAGTAATAATAGGGTAATAATATCGATAATAAAGGTGACAACAACAACAACTACATACAAATGAGTCATGTCGTGGCAAAATGGTTACGTTGTCGCACAGACCAGTATTGAGTAAAGGAACTATAAAATATGGTAGCTCAAAAAATTGCCTAAAAATCCAGTTTTTTTTGGCACTATAGATCAACAGTTTAATGTCTTATTAATCATGTCCCAAAGTATTAGTTCTGGAAGTGATCAACAAATTGTTTATTTAATGTTATTTAGATAGTTAATTCTATTAAACAATGTATGCACAAATAACTTTGGAAGGCAATTACTCAAAATCATGTTTATCTTGACTCTAAGAGTGCTGTAATTTCACTTTCCAGTAACTTAGGCTAGAAATGTCCAATTTCAATGAATGACCCCTCATTTTAAAGATCACATACTCAGGTATCTGAAAATACTAATAACTTGAATTTCAATTTTTGCTACAACTTAGCCATTTTGCCACAACGTGCCTCAAATACTGAAAAACACCAATTCTGTGGGGAACAATACGTATGCGCGTACGTCCGTATATTATGTACGTGCGTATATGTATGCATGTGTGTAGGCCGCATGTATGCATACATGCATGCATGTAGGCCTATGTATGTGTGTATGTATGTATGCATCCCCACCTTTCTGGACAACAGTCGCGGGACACTTCATCACTGCATTCCGAACACAACATCTGTGAAAACATTAACACTTACCTGTCAGTTGGCACTTTAAATATAGTTATTTGGATAGGTCTAGGCAAATAACATGTTTTCTTAAATTTCTGAAAATTGGAGATGCATGGGTAAATTAACTTACCGCCAATATGTTACGCCAGTCCTCTTTAGCTTCAGAACATAAGAGTATCCGTTAGAGTCTACCAGTTTAGATCGCTGTCTTTGTGTCGACCCCTCGACAATCTTGTATTCGACGACTCTGTCCACCACATCTTCGTTGTCCTCTCCAACATCGGCGTCATCGAGGGAGTCTTCTTGAATTTCGTTACCATTCTCGAAACTTGCATCTACACAGACGTCCGCCGATGTTTCGGTACGATTAGGGCTACCATTAAGTTCGTCTACCGCATTTAGCAGGTCAGTCAATCCAGTGTTGTTGGTCGATGCATGGTCTTCATCGATATGTCCAAGCGAGGGATGAGTATTCCCGTCCATTTGGTGGTCTTCCAGAGGGGCTTCTTGAATTGCGTGGCTATTCTCCGAACTTGTATCCACGTCACCATGTTCATATATCGCAATTAGTAGGTCAGTCAGTCCAGTGTTGTTGGTCGATGCATGGTCTCGATCGATATGTCCAAGCGAGGGATGAGTATTCCCGTCCATTTGGTGGTCTTCCGGTGAGGCTTCTTGAATTGCGTGGCTATTTTCCGAACTTTTATCTACGTCACCCTGTTCATATATCGCAATTAGTAGGTCAGTCAGTCCAGTGTTGTTGGTGGATGCATTGCCTTGACCGATATGTTCAAATGAGCGATAAGTACTCTCGGCCAATGGGATGTCTTCACGCAATTGACGGTCGAATGTACACTCGGGTCACCTCCACTCCAGTACTGGTCCGTCATTGTCCATCACTTGGGTGTACTGCTCCAAGGTTATACCTAAAATAAATTACAAATAATGCATTTAAAAATTTAGTTGTGATAATGCATAGCCCCGTAATACAATAAGTGTTTGGAACACATAAATATAATTAAGTGCGTCTTTTACAACTTATCCTCTTAAAAAACATCAAGTGTTTAAAAAACATAAATATAAATAGATGTGTCTTTAAGAGGTTACCCTCTTAACAAGTTTACAAATTAAAGTGACGATAAAGCACATCCCCGTACAATAAGTATTTGAAAAACATAGGCCTATACTGTATATAATTAAGTACGTCTTTATAACTTGCCTTAAATTGACAAAGCCATTTTATTAAACGTTCCGCTTTTATTTAAGCATCATCAGTAATAAATGATCCTGATAAAGCTTAAATAAAAGTGAAACGTTTAATAAAATTACCCTCTTAACAAGTTTAAAAATTAATGTGGCGATAGTGCACATCCCCGTACAATAAGTATTTGAACAACATAAATATAATTAAGTGCATCTTTTAGGACTTACCCTCTAAACGAGATCTGTGGTACCAGGACATGCAGTCATTGCATTCTACCGCATGCTGATGTGCTGTGACATCTCTCTTACACTTCTTGCAGGGAAACTTCGCTACAGGCTGCGGACTTGTGCCGCCGTTTCTCGTCTTCATTACAGCAGATAAACTCGGACTGATGATACTTTATGTTCGCTCACTGAATTATTAAAATAAACTAAATAACTTTTTTGAAAGCTGAGCTGTTAGCAGATACACTCGGATTGATGATACTTGATGTTCTCTGACTGAATTATCGAAATAAACTGATACAATTTTTGGAAAAGCTGGAGTTTTTATGCCAATGACCTTCGTCGAAAACTGTTTATTGGTATGTGCTTTCATGTTCCGCAGTGTCGATAGTCACTCATGGTGAGACTAAGCCAGATTAACGCCTTGGTGAAATTAAGAAAAGAAATAAGAAAAAATGTAAATTTACAATTATACAGTATTTACCCTTCAACCCATTTTAGATTAAAAAAAAAAAAAAAAAAAATGACCCTAAAAAATTTGAATCCCCCTTCCCCTTTATAAATTCTGGCTACGGCCTTGATTTTCTAATTTGTTCAAGACATCTGATTCGTGTCACCGACATGTCACCGGTGATTCACGTCATTGGATGCATCCTTGTCACTTACGGGTTTCATAGCTCCCATTGGTCGAACAAATAGCTTATGATGGACTGAAGCGAAATGTCTGTCACTCAACAATACCAATTGTTCCTATTGTGGATAATTGATACTAGATGCTATGCACCCCACCTAATTTTTACGTAAGCCTCATTCTTGGGCGTGGTTCTAAAGAAAATAGTATCGAATAAATAAATTTTTAACATTTGAAAAATCATAATGTGGTTTTTCTATTTCAATTTTTTATGATTAGGTCTACTCTACAGTTTTAACGTGAAAAAAGAAATTAAACAATAATATAGGCCTATGTGTTTTTCTTAATTATTAAGATTGCTTAAATTGTTAATATTACATTATTGTCAGATTTTATTCCATTTTGTAACTGGCGGGTTTTCTCTGTCGAATAAGAGTACAGTGTGAAGAAATGAATACAACGATCTCACGACGACGATGATCAGAATTTTACTAAAATAATATACTATGTACTTCATTTCAATCACATTTCAAAAAGATGCAACAACTGAGTAACATTTACATTTCATTTTAATTATAAATAACTTGTGGCCGAGTTGACTTGTGGCCGAGTTGGCTGTAGCCGAACTTATTTGTAGCCGAGTTGATTTGTGGCCGAGTTGATTTGTGGCCGAGTTGAATTGTGACCGAGTTGACTTGAGGCCGAGTTGACTTGTGGTCGAGTTGACTGTGGCCGAGTTGACTTGTGGCCGAGTTGACCTGCACCCACCCCTTTGTATCAAACTCTTTGGTGTCTACATCTCAGAAAACTAATTACCCAGGGAATTATATTGTGATTCACATTTAGTGAAGCTTGCATGCTTACAGAGGTTATCTATTAACTTAACAAGGTAGTGGGTAGTTGAAAAGGTCTTCTTGTTACCAAATGGTTTACAGTTAAGTTTACCAGTTATATCATTCATAATCAGGGAATATATGAAATTTTCAGCAACCTTTGAGAAGTGGTCTGTTAGTGAGATTGGTCTAAGTTTATTCCACTCAGACAGGTTTGTCTTAGGAATTGGGACAACTACAGCCTCTTTCTACTGGTTAAGTAAACAACTCCCTCATCAAAAGATGAATTCAACAAACGCAAGCAAATTCCCTTACTATTCTGGCCGGTACCCCATCAGGCCCCGAAGCCTTCTTATTGTTTACCTGTTTAAGAACATTATAAACCTCGTATTCTTCAACGGTAGGTACCAGCTTGTGCTCAGGGAGAAAGGCGGGTAGCTGTTTCAAATCTAACACTGGAATATCATCGGAGACGAACACAAAACAGTCATTAATACTGTTAGCAACGGGACGTAGTCGTCTTGATCAATATGTGGAGGAGGATTAATGTTGATTTCTTTAATGTGTTTGATAGTCATGAATTTAATCTCTTTATACCACGTAGCGGGATTGCTGCTTTTCAGTTTACGTATTCTATCGTGGTAAAATGAGCGTTTGGCGTTCTTAATACAAGCTTGGATCTCATCTCTAACTTTTTTCCATCTGTTGTCAATCTTCTTATAAAGACTTTGCCTTTTTGACAATCAGAGTTTTAATTTGTGGCGTAATACAGGGTTTTTCTTCAATGTGGCATTTTACGGATTTGGGAGGAAAATATTTTTCAGTTGCGCAGTTTAGTGTTTTGTAAAAAGCGTTACATTTGGCTTGTGTGTTTTTCCCAGATTTGACTTCTGTCCAGTCATGTTTTGTTATCCAGTGCCCAAAATGTTGGATGGAACTCTTTTTGATTGGTCTAATATGTCGATTTACAACTTTGTTGAACTTGCAGGTAACTTGTGGTTTCCACATTATACACTTGTGATCACTTCTAGCAATAGGAGCACATATGTCTGGTTTGTTGAAAAAAGGATGAATATGTCTAAAACTGCCGTTCTTCTTGTAGGTACCTTGACAACCTGCTTAAAGGGGCTAATAGTGAGAAACAAGATATTCAAAGGGTTGAAATCGCCAGCTATTATTATTCCAGCTTCCGAAAATTGTGTTGTTGAATCATCGACCACTTGTTGAATATGGTAGATTACCGCTCGGGTCATTAGCGGGTGAGTAAACAGCTGCCACAAACAAGGGTGAAAATTTTCGTTTGTTAAATGGTATAATGTTGTTGTACTTCAAACGGAGCATAGGTTTTACATACGTATAAGATTTGGAATACCTGTTGTTGCTGACATGCACCGGAATATTTCTTATTTTCCTACTTCCAGAACGACATCCGCGCCTAGTTATAGTGGTGCAGATTCCTAGCTCAATCTTTTTCCAAACGTGAGGTTGCAGGCGGAGTTTCTTGTTTCCAACAAAAATACCGACTGGTTCAAAATGGCGCCTAATGTTATGCAGTTCCTCATTTAAATACGACCGCACCTGCTTAAAAGCGCGACGTGCGGCCTCCGTGGCGTGTATGAGTGAGATTGGTCACGAACAAACACACTAAAATCGAACAATAGTGCAAAAATGATAATCCATGCAGGTTCATAAAACATCAACAGCTCAAATGACGGTATCAAAAAGGGAAACAATTCATCAAAAAACCACAAGAAAACGAAATAAAACGAGACTCATTTGCCAGCAGCACTCACAGCGGTGACTATACACAATAATAATCAATTAGGCGTAGGTATTAATGCTATATTTATATACATAGACTAATACCAGAACATAGAGACACTATATTTAATATTCATAAAGGTAAGGAACATAATTAAAATAATTCATCAATTAACTAGCAAATGGAATTTATTTGAGAAAGAAAAATGAGTTTATTTGCAGTTGTATGATTTTGTAATGGTTATTTCTAGTGAAAAAAGCAGTTATGATCTTTTTACATAGTGAAATCTAACCATTGAGACATGATGTACCAAGTCCACCTGACTGTTATAACTAAATTTTGAAAAAAAATTATCAGTTATGCGCTTTTGTCAAGGGAGGGCAATATGTTTTGACTGATAAGTGGTTTTTAAGGTAGGGTACTATAAATGAGATATTTCATGCATTCTCTCATTTTCCTTCATTGAAGGATAAAAAAAATTTTCACTTTTACCTTGCTCTACCACTTCCACATCTCTAACCGTTATTTCTTCACCCTCATCTACACTCATGTCCTCATCATCTTCTCTGCATTCTGAAAAAAAAAAGTTTTTTAGACTACACTGTATCTTGATGGCTGTTTGAGTTTGAATCCACTGGGAAAGCCTGACAACAGATAATGTCCACTGTCTTTCGTCCTTTAAGCTTATGTGGGTATTCCAGTTGACAACACCGGCAGATAAAATTTATATTTAAATATTTGTTTTTCTTTTTGTAATGAAATTCATACTTACCTGAAAATGTAATATCTTTCTCTTCTGCTAAAATTGTTCTTAAACTGGCTACACTGTAGCTGGATGGCCGTTTGATCTGTATTTCGTTTGGAAGGCCTGACACCAGGTAACGTCCATTTTGTCTACATCCTTGTAGCTTACGTGGGGTTTTCTAACACTAGCAAATGTAATTAGAACAATTTTATTTGGTTCAGTTTATATAACTTTTTTCTAAATTGAATTATATCATGATAGACCACCAGCCAATTTGAACTCTATCAGTCCAATGACTGAACACCATGTTCAGTGTGGTAGTGTTACACAATCATTACTTTTAATTTTTGGGAGGTGCAAAGTAATTGGAAAAAAAGTTAAAAATCATCATTTTTTTGAAATGGTGCCCAATGCATTCATATTATTATACAGTATGTGTGTGTGGTTATATATATATATATATAGTACTCGGAAATGAACAAATTGTAACCGGTTGGCAATTTCTTCTTTAAAACAGCAGTTCTCGGATATTTGATTCCAGATTGTTTTTTTTTTTTTCGGTAGTTCTTAATCCAGCCCTTTGTGTTAAGTAGTTATATTTCTATTGATTTGTACATATAGTTAGTGTGGACCAGTAAAATTTAAATTATTCTTACTAATTACTTACTAGTGCAAATGAAAGATCTACTAATGCAAAAGCAAATGCTTTTTAAATGAAAAAAATCGGAAAACCAGTTGTGGAGTTATAATTTTTAACTAATCGGCGTTGGACATAAATAATGAAAATAATACAATATTAATAAATTTTAAAGGTCATATTTATCTTTACAAAAATTGTATTCTCAAAACATTCATAGAAAATGACTTGCACTTTACTAAAGGCATATACTGAATTTCAACATCAAAACAATAAGGGTCTATTAAATACAAGTGACTAAATTTTACGGAAAGTGAAAAAATAATGCGCCTAATATCCAAGATGGCCAACATGGACCAGTTCGAAAATTGCCATTTGTCCCAACTTTAAAATATATTTAATACTTGAAAGAAATAACATAAATCTGTAGATACTATGGTTGTAATTACAGTATTGTATATAATACAGGTGAATAGTGATAAAGTTGCTACAAAATGTATTTTACAAAATTCTGGGAATTAAATGTCCCAATTTCATACAAAAATGAAAGAAACATTTTTTGTGACATTAATTTTTTTTAATGTACAAAATATTTTTTTTTCTGTATAAAATAGAGAAATTCTTAATGAAATAAAAATAATGATCAATTAATTGGATAATTAAATTATTGCAAATGAAAAATCATGCACCTAAATAATAAGATAGCAGCCATCGATCATTGCTGTTGTAAAATAGAGGTATTTTTAGGCAAGGCTAAGGAGATGTAAACTTCTTCCTAATTAAATAAAACTTTTTAAGCAGGTAGATAAAACATTACTTAATGCATAAAATATTCTAACTTTCCCATTCTGTAAAACAGATGAGCATAATTGAAAAAAAAATATAACTTCTGAACTGGACATCCAATTGAAAAATAAAATATATCTGAAGAAAGCTATTGTTAAACATCTTTGTGTGTGAAATATCAAGTGAAAGAATACAAGATAACAGATAGATAACAGAACCTAAGGAACCATCAAAGAAGCACAGTCTAGGTTTTGTGATGTTTATAACCATGAAGACATTTTGAGAGGAAAGTAAGTGGCTGTCCCCTTAGTATTTAGATTCCTCTGTATGAAAACTGCAAGGTTATTTTTTGGAAAAAAAAAACAGATGGGTTTTTGTTCTTAAAAAGATTAGCAAGAATTAAATACAAAATGAGGAAAGAACAAAAAAGCAAGTTTAAAATACCACTTTACGCAGTGTGCAACTACATGCTGCCTGTGTGTATAGGCTCGCACTATTCCATTTTGGGCTTCGTTGATCTATCCTAATATAATGTTTTAATCATACAATATGGCACAATAAATAAAACTTCAACAATATTTACGCCTTATAAAATCCTTATAAATTCATTAAAACAATTTTTCTTTGTATATTTTTAAATAACATTGACTACACTTAACAATTACATTAACATTAATAAAATCATAATTTCAGAATTTCCAACTGTGTATTACTTATCACCACATTCTTCCTTTGAAATAACAAATATTTGTTTGATTTTAAATGGTTGTGCACTTAACAGCCATACATAGAAACTACGTACACCAGGGCAATATTTTAACAATGAAATTGAAAAGATCAAGAAGATGATGCTATGAAATGGCTTTCATATATATGTTCTAAATCGATTACTTAAATAGTTAAAACCAAACTTAATAATAATTGGTAATGATAGACCTGATATTAATGATAAGCCTAAAATTTGGTTACATCTTCCTTGCATAGGTGATCGTGGTTACACGCTATTACGTAGCTGTATTAGAAAGATGAATAGGTATTTAATTATTGATGTTAAGTTTATTACTTTATGGCAAACCAAGCAAGTCTCTTAATTTACATCCTTAAAGGACCTTACTCCGAAAGAATACCGTAGTTCTTTATATCTATAAATTTGAATGCCCTGGCTGCAATGAAAGTTACATAGGAAAGACAGGTATGCCTTAAGTCAAAAGTGAATGAGCATGCTCTCAAATCAGACAGCAGTTATCATGGGCACATACAGCAGTGAAGGGGTTCTCAAGAGCATGCATTATTTACTTAATTTTAAACTTATACTTTTAATACTGTATATCACATTTCTTATGTTGGATCTTTATTTATTTATCTTCTACTATTATTTGTACTTCGCTGATTGTTTATTGCATTCCATGAGAATTTTAGCATTCCCAGACCTCTAACCTATATAATTGCTGATTATTTATTGTTTATCCATAAGTGATCGACTTCATGTAAGACACCATATTTTTAATTACCTCTTTTCAATTTTCTAGTTTTAACTTGATTTTATTCTGATTTTAAGATCTATCCAGGGAGATTGAAAATGTAACAGCAGGTTATGTCAAGGGACCATCCATAGACCTATTTCATCATTTTCAAAAAAGTACAAAACACTCTTTGGTTGGGAAGGGGAGAAGGCAGTGTAGCTTAGTTACTCTTTTATTAAAAAGTAAAATAATGATCTCAAATTCAGATTCAAAATTCTTTTTTGTGTACTCATTTGAGGGGAAGAGGGGGTCACAGCAAAGAGTATGTTTTGCTTTTGTACTCTTGTAATAATAAAGAAAATAATGGGTGACCTCTGTTAATCTAACATTAATATATTTTGTGCCAGCTAACTGTAACAATACTGCCATATTCAAATATGGCTCATACGTATAATTTAGTTTAAAAAAAAAATGCCATCTTGCAAATTCACTCCTGCTCCGTGAATAAGGAACCTGTAAATAAAAGTGGTAAAAATATTATTTGGTGTTTTAAATACTGTTAATGCCAAGTTCACTTCCTAATCATTATTTACGTCTGTCGCCCTCTTGAAGCGTCATTATGTTAATGTTCATCACTATTTATTACCGTATGTTATATCTGATATGCCTTATTAGATGAGTTTAATTTTGATTGATTTACGGTTAATCGTCACTTGTATCAGTTTCAACCGTCAAAGATGTGTAAACTTGAACTAAGGATAAGAGTATACATTGATATTCTGTCATCAGTTCCGACGCATTAAACAGAACTCCAAAAATCTCTGCTGCTTTCTTGTTTGTTTGATTTATTGACTCAAGAAGCACATCATTAACGTACAGGTTTGAGGAAAGTTCTGCCCACTAAGATGGCCACAAAAGAACTTGGAATAGCATGGAGGAACCTCCGCAAGGAATCAAATGACTTGAGGATATTTATGAAGAAAAACCAGCCTGTTAAAGAAACCCAAACACGGTATACAATATGGATGAAATTGTACGAAAGTTTTCTACAGGCCAATGATGTGTACTGTGGTACACTCAGTGCAGAAGCCTTGAAAGAGCACATTGAGAAATGGTACAAAAAGAAGACATTGTTTATAGAAAAGAGAAAATCAAAGGCCGAACAATGGTTTCTGATTAGAGCAGAGGTCCAGACTACAACTATGTCACGAGCATCAAAGTCTTCTCGTGCTAGTCAAGGATACCCAGCAAGAAAAATTGCGTAGGCCAAACGACTGTAAGAGCTGAAAAAGCAAAGTGAACTTCTCCGAGTTCAGCAGGAAAGTGAGAGGAAACTGAAACTGTTGGAAATTGAACTTCAACAGGAAAAGGAAAAAAGTGCCATAGCAAATGAAATGGCTAAATCAGAAGCATGGGAACAGCTCCTGGAGGCGATCGAGGAAGAAGAAAATAATAGCCAAAATTTAGATGGAGAAGAGGTAGACACTATAAGTGCCATAAGCAGGCGACATTCCAGAGAGGAAGAATCACCTGGCGATGTTAAACAAACTACGTTCCCCACTGCATCCCCAAAGCAACCTGGGGAGGTGCTGATGGAACTGCGAAAGCCAAAGTTGGAAATAAGGAAATTCGAGGGGAACCATCTACAGTTCAATTCATGAGTCAATTCAAAATCAAAGGGATCTGTTCCAATAATGAAAAAATGGCATATCTAGAACAGTATACGATCGGAGAAGCCAATAAAATAGTTGTTGGGTACTTCTTAGACGCTGATGTGGGATACCCTGCGGCGATAGAAGAATTGAAAAGGAACTACGGAGACGTAGAAGCCATGGCAAACGAGTACATAAAAAAAGGTTTTGTCTTGGGGATATATTAGAGCTGATGATCCCAAGGGTCTGGATGCCTTTGCTGTCTTTTTGAAGGAATGCAGAGCAGCAACACAAATTATTGGAGGTATGGGTGTGCTGAAATATTCTGAGAATTTAAAGAAAATATTACAAAAGCTTCCCAACTTCATGCATGGCTGGTGGAGGAAAATCGTTTTCGATTTGAAGCGGCAAAGAAAAATAGTAAAGTTCTAAAAATTTTGTAGACTTATAGCATTAGAGGCAGAGAAAGTGAATGATCCTGTCTGGGGAAAGGATATAATATGTAGTGGAAAGAAGAAAGACCAAAGATTTCCATGCCCAAAGATGTTAGCCGCAGTGTCTAACACAAACGAAATTGATAGGGGATGTATGTTTTGTGGTGGTACTTATTACATCTTCCCCTTCAGAGAGTGTGGAAGTGTTCCTTTTAAAGATTAAATGTAGTGTACCATGTAGTCTACAAATTAACAGTATGTCTTATTATTATTACATCACAGTTCTGGTATTCTCTATTAAGTCTATGTGCTGTATGATTCGTTAAAGTACTTTGGGTTTAGCTTAGATTGACGCTCACTCCTACGAAGAGTTTTGGTACTGCCCGAACTTGGCTGGTTTTCCTGTTTTTGTGCATTGACTTGATACGTCTGCTCATCTTCCTCCTCCTCATCGCTTTCTATTGGTGTGGGTGGTTGTGTTTTAAGGAGATGTTTCCTGTTTCGTCTGATGATATCTCCTGTTTCTGTCTTGACCATGTATGATCGGTTAGGCAAGGCTTCAGTTATTACGCCTGCCCTTGACCATGATGGATATTCTGTACTCTCACTGTGTCACCTACGTGGAGAGGTGCCATTGGCGTAGATATTTCGTCAAAGTTTCTCTTTTGCTGTTGTTTAAGCTTTTTCTTGATAATCTGTGTTTGTTTCCCCCCAAGCTTTGGGTTTAACAAGGTATGTTTGATCGACAAGTTGGATTTTATCTTCCTGTTGAAGAGTAGTTCTGCTGGTGACACTCCATGTTCAAGCGGTGTACTCCTATATACTTGTAAAGCCAAATGTAGGTCTTCGCCACTATCTTTGACTTTACGGATCATGGTTTTCACTATTTTGACTGCATTTTCAGCTTGGCCGTTGGATGCAGGATGGTGAGGGCTTGAAGTTGTATGCTTAAAATTCCACATTGTAGCAAAGTTTTTGAACTCTTTACTTGCAAACTGTGGCCCATTATCGCTGATCAGTTCTATTGCTGTACCGTGACAAGCAAAGATGGATCTAATGGAATTTATTACATTCTTGCTAGTAGTGCTAGGTAGGGTAGCAATCTCTACATATTGCGAGTAATCCACCACTGCAATGTAATCTTTGCCGTCAACCTCAAACAGGTCCGCTCCAACTTTCTCCCAAGGTCGGGTAGTCAACTTATGTTGTTGCAAGGGCTCTGTCTTTTGCTTATCTCTATACAGAATGCATGTTGAGCATTGTTGTACAATCTGATCTATCTCTTTGTTAATATTTGGCCAGTACAACACTTCACGTATTCTGCGCCTTTCATTTTTCTCTTCCAAGATGACCTTTATGATTTTGTTGGAGCATCATGTTCTGAAGACATCTTGGAATGACAATTCTTCTTCCTTTGAAGATAATGCCACCCGACACAGACAACTCGTCCCTGTAGTTCCAGAATTCGACAATGCTTGAAGGGCATTGTGTCCGCTTGTCTGGCCATCTCTCTCGGATTGTTTTGCGGAACTGCAACAGAGTTTCATCTCCCTGAGTTGCAGCTTTTATATTCTGCATCTGAGATTGCGCCACTGGTAGCGATGTAATTACCATTCTGATGTATGCCTCAACATAATTTTCTAAGCGTTGATCTTCTTCAGCTGCTGTGGTTTTGTCAACAGCTCTTGACATCGCATCTGCAGCCCATAGTTCTTTACCTGGGGTATATGTTAGGCTAAGATCATATTTTTGTAGTCTGATACGCATTCGCTGAAGTCTAAGTGGACTATCTGACAGTGGTTTTTTGAAGATGGAGATTAGAGGCTTGTGATCCGTTTCTGCCAGTACTTTCTGGCCAAACAGGAACTGGTGAAAACGTTCACACGCAAATGTCAGCGCCAAACACTCCTTTTCAATGTGGGCATAGTGTGTCTCAGCACTTGTCATTGAACGTGACGCGTATGCCACAGGTGCCCATACTTGATTGGTCTGTTGTTGCGGCAAAACTGCCCCGATTCCATCCTTGGATGCATCAGCCGACACTTTGCATGTCTCAGTCGGATTATAAATTTTAACACTGGGCTGTTTGTCAGAGTCGACTTGACATTCATCCAAGCCTTTTCTTGGGCATCCAACCATACCCAGTCATTCTTGTCAACTAGGAGCTGACGTAGTGGTGCCGTCTTGACTGACATTTCAGGCATAAATTTCGCCAGAAATTTGGCCATTCCCAGAAATCTTTGAAGAGCTTGCTTATCCTTTGGTCTTTCCATGTTGACGATGGCTCTTACTTTACTAGGATCTGGTCTAATACCTTCATCAGTAATCAGGTCACCTAAGAAAACAAGTTTGTTTATTCCGAATTCGCACTTTTGCCTGTTAAGTTTCAGGTTGGCTCTTTGTGCTGTGTTTAGCACTTGCTTCAGTCGTCGGTCATGTTCTTCTTGTGTGGATCCCCACACAATTATTTTTTATTTATTTATTTCAAAAATCATCCAACAGCGGAAGCCAATTACAAGATGTCTTATAATACATATAAATATATAGAAAAATACAAACAAGCGAAAGATAAATTGATAAATAACATTACAGTATAAAAAGAAAAAGAGAAATTTACAAATACATTGCGAGAAATTACATCAAAATTGCAAATTAATTAATTAAATTACAGTATGAAATGAAATAGAGAAATTTACAAGAAAATTGCACAAAATTACATCTTAAGCTAAAAATTGCAAGTTCAAAAAAATACAGATAAAAAAATCCAGATAAGAAAATAAACAAATAAATGCAAAACAAGTAAAT